CCCCCCCTCCTTTCTCTTGACTTACTGTTAATGAAATAGCTAAGGATGTTTTTAACTCGTATATAATAATAACTGTAAATATATATTAGTTTAGTTTTACCGTGTATTGAATTTAGAGGAAGGCCGTCTCACCGTGAAAGTATTAATGCAGAAGATTTAAATGTGCAATACGTTTTACTTTCATGCAAGTTTGTTTTTAACTCGTATATAATAATAACTGTAAATATATATTAGTTTAGTTTAATCGTGTATTGAATTTAGAGGAAGGCCGTCTCACCGTGAACGTGTTAATGCAGAAGATTTAAATGTGCAATACGTTTTACTTTCATGCAAGTTTGTATTTAACTCGTATATAATAATAACTGTAAATATATATTAGTTTAGTTTTACCGTGTATTGAATTTAGAGGAAGGCCGTCTCACCGTGAAAGTATTAATGCAGAAGATTTAAATGTGCAATACGTTTTGCTTTCATGCAAGTTTGTTTTTAACTCGTATATAATAACTGTAAATATATTAGTTTAGTTTAATCGTGTATTGAATTTAGAGGAAGGCCGTCTCACCGTGAACGTATTAATGCAGAAGATTTAAATGTGCAATACGTTTTACTTTCATGCAAGTTTGCAAACAAGCCTCGTGTTCAGTATTTTGTAAATACAAATTTTTCATTTGTAGCAATGTTTCTTGGCATTTATGGTTTTGTTGGAACGTTTATTAATATTGTTTTACTTGTTTGCACCACACACACACACACACCCCACGCATACACACACTATTCACACACCGTGCACACCCCACGCACACACACAAACCATGCTTGCACCCCACGCACACATGCACCCCACACATATACACACACCACACACACCCCCCACACACACACCACGCACACATACACCCCACACACACACCCCATGCTCACACCCCACACACACACCCCATGCACAAACTACACACACACCCCACGCACACCTACACCCCACACACACACCATATGCACACACCACACATACAGCCCACACATACACACACACCATGCATTCACCCCATGCACGCACCCCGACTAGCGCTTAGGTCAACTAGAACACACAAACCGAACCTCTCCACCTGGGTTTTCATCCCGGCAAACCGAGCGAGTGACCTGGCCATGGGTTTCCCATGTGAGAGAGAATTGGCAAAGTTCGGTGTGAGATGGTGACTCCCGGACCCTGTGGTAAAACATGGGTGAGTTTGACGCGAGACCACCTCCGGGAGAATCCGGGTAGAATATGATGGTGCACCCAGATACACGAGCACTCAAGGGGGGTAAGTTGGAAAGGGCAGGGAGTGTTGGAATGCAATAATACTGTTTTCCTGAGACAGATAGTGCGAGTGGAAGAATGACGAGTGTGGCCTTGGGTGCATCATCAACACATCGCGCATCTAAAATTATCCCTGATTATGACAATAAAACAGCTGTAAGTGTATCAAAGTGTGGCATTGGCATTGTGTGCATGTTGAGTAGCGTGGAGAGGGTAGGCTCGAGAATAAGCGCGGCAGGCAGAGGCCATGCGCAAGATTAATTTCCCTGGCATTCAAGTGTCCAGCACGGCCAGTGGGGAAACTCTTCAACCTCGCTCCCGCTGATCCCCATCACGGATCGCGTGGCAAACAGAGGTAGAGGGGAGTCGGGGAGCACGTGTGTGTGGCCTTACAGCAAGTCGTGTGGTGGACCGTAACGGGTGGAGGCCGTTCTCCAATTCGCCTTTAACGCAGCGAATACGTTCATCATCTGCACATGCTTAGAGTTCATCACTCCATCTTCTCGGAGGACAATATCTCAGCCGCATTCCATTCAGTAGATAAAACTCATTTGTGCTCCCTGACTTTTTGTGACGCCGCGTGACGAGGGGGGGGGGGGGGGGAGTCAAAAATCGTACAAAATCGCGTGACGTCATTTATGGACGGCCCCTTAAATGCCAACGTTGAGATCTGCTGGCCACGACGAGGGGGATTCAGGATAAAGTTCTTGTCGTTGTGCTTTTCCTCCTTCGTTGAAGGAGCGCAGACGATATTGGGCTCACGATATGGTCCATAGCTTGTGTTGCATGGCCACAGTCATGCTCCTATGGCTTGTCTTTAATCTATCTCTTCGTATGTATCTTTGTATGTATCTCTATGTATGTATCTCATTGGGTCTCTATCTTTACGAGTCTATGTATCTCGACGTGCCTCTATTGGTCTGCTATATGGTCAATAGTTTGGGTTGCATGGCCACAATCACACTCCCGTGGCTCGGCCTTGTTTTTATATTTTATGAAGGAGGTGTGAAGCAGCATTGACCTACTCTTTGGCTCTTTCGGTAAAGTCACGTAGAAAGAGAAAATAATAAATTAAATAATAGCATACGACGTTTCGATTGCAACACAAACATTCATCATCAGGTACAAATGAAAGAGATACAATGCAATACATCACAGAGAGTCGGCTAACATAACAGACAACACCCGACCTGGTTGATTACGTTATTCCAAAGATGGCTAAATTTAAGAGAGAGATAAAACACAGAACCAGAGACACAGAGACAGACACACAAGTAGAGAGAGACACACACAGAGACACACAGAGAGAAACACACACATAGGCACACAGAGAGAGATAACACAGAGACACACAGAGAGAGATAACACAGAGACACACAGAGAGAGACACACAACATAGACACACAGAGAGAGATAACACAGAGACACACAGAGAGAGACACACAGAGAGAAACACACACATAGGCACACAGAGAGAAATAACACAGAGACACACAGAGAGATATAACACAGAGACACACAGAGAGATAACACAGAGACACACAGAGAGAGATAACACAGAGAGAGACACACAGAGAGAGATAACGCAGAGACACAGAGATATAACACAGAGAGAGATAACACAGAGACACACAGAGAGATAACACAGACACACACAGAGAGATAACACAGAGACACACAGAGAGAGACACACAGAGAGAAACACACACATAGGCACACAGAGAGAAATAACACAGAGACACACAGAGAGATATAACACAGAGACACACAGAGAGATAACACAGAGACACACAGAGAGAGACACACAGAGAGAGACACACACATAGGCACACAGAGAGAGATAACACAGAGAGAGACACACAGAGAGAGATAACGCAGAGACACAGATATATAACACAGAGACACACAGAGAGATAACACAGAGAGAGACACACAGAGAGAGACACACAGAGAGAGAGAGACACACACATAGGCACAGAGAGAGAGAACACAGAGACGCAGAGAGAGATAACACACAGGCACACCGAGAGATATAACACAGAGACACGCAGAGATATAACACAGAGACACACAGAGAGAGATAACACAGAGACACACCGAGAGATATAACACAGAGACACACAGAGAGAGAGACACACACATAGGCACACAGAGAGAGATAACGCAGAGACACAGAGATATAACACAGAGACACACAGAGAGAGATAACACAGAGACACACAGAGAGAAACACACAGAGAGAAACACACAGAGACAGACAGAGAGAAACACACAGAGACAGAGAGATAACACAGAGACACACAGAAAGAGATAACACAGAGAGAGGAGACACACAGAGAGATATAACACATAGACACACAGAGAGATATAACACAGAGACACAGAGAGATATAACACAGAAATTTCAGCAAGAAAATTTTCTTGCAAGAAATTTCAGCAAGAAAATTTTCTTGCAAGAAATTTCAGCAAGAAAATTTTCTTGCTGTGGTTTTCACACCGGATGATGATTGCTTGTGTTGCAATCGAAACATGGTGAGAATTTTATTGTTTGATATTTTTATTATTTTATTGTTTCCCTTTTACATGACTTTACCGAAAGAACTAAGAATATAAACGTTTTCGTTTAGTAACGTAATTTTTGTCTATATGTGTTTCTACCTTGTGATGGAACTTTGTAGGGTGAATTTTGAGATGTTTAAGGCCACGGGGTGATCAATAAAATCTGAATTTGTCTGTAATAAGGTAGGCCCTGATAAGGGGGTGACAGGGATGAGTGCTTTGTGGCGAACATGCAAAGAAACATGCTCTAAGACATATTTACGATCCATTGTCTATGAAAAAGGTAAACACATTCTTGCGGAGGGAGCTGGTAGGAACGTTGGGTTGCTCGGTCAGTGGCCAGGGTCAACGGCGGCACCACGTGGTGTATTCCGCAAATATGCCCGACTGTGAGGGCGGGCACAAGCCGGCGTGAGTAGGTTAAACGTTGAGTTTTATAAGGGCACCACGGGGTGATCAGCCCCTCCCCACTCAGCCCCACCCCACCCAGCCCCACCCCACCCAGCCCCACCCCCCACCCAGCCCCACCCTTCCCACCTTGCCCCTCCCTACCCTCCCCTCCCCACCCAGCCCCTACCCACCCAGCCCCTCCCTACCCTCGCCTCTCCACCCAGCCCCACCCCTCCCATTTTTTATATTCGAATGTCCGGATACACGTGGACAGACATCCACAGACATACACAATTAATTCCCTGCCTCCTGTGAGAATTAATCCCGGTTGGGCTTCCAGTCCATATAAGGGCACCACGGGGTGACCAGCCCCTCCCCACCCAGCCCCACCCCTCCCACCTCCCACCCCTCCCCACCCTCCCCTCCCCACCCTCCCCACCCTCCCCACCCCACCCAGCCCCTCCCCACCCAGCCCCTCCCCACCCTCCCCTCCCCACCCAGCCCCTCCCCACCCTCCCCCTCCCCACCCTCCCCTCCCCACCCAGCCCCTCCCCACCCAGCCCCTCCCCACCCTCCCCTCTCCACCCAGCCCCACCCCTCCCATTTTAGGATTGCACAACGGACGGACGGACACAATAATCCCCTGTGTGTGCTGCTGCTGCTGCTGGTGTGGTAGTAACCAGGAGGGTCCCAGCAGTAATTAATGTTTGTTTAGCAACAAAGATTTAAGTGAATGCGATGGTGGTCAGGGATTGGACCCCGAGTCCCCACGTGCACAGCAGAGTACGGGGCCAGCCGCCCCCATTCACACATTTGGGCGGATTTTCTCGCCGGTAAGCTGCATTTAACACTTGAGCTCCGATAAAATATAGTGTAACAGTTATCACAGTGATATCAATCGACTTACAGGGGCTCGGCAATGTTAATTGACTGTCACGCAGATATGCGCGATTCACAACTTTCACGTTAAAAGTTCCATTTCACTTTTCTAACAAAAAAAAATCTATATACTGACGACAATTGGTGCTTGCGTATTAACACCGGCGCTCGATTGCCGTTAACGAATTCAGCTGCCGTGTTGTTGATGATGTGTAGGGTGGTTTGTTTTTCTCCGTTATTCAAGGTACGAGGTTGTTTACTTAAATTTATTTTTTTTTGCTTTGCGCGGGATAATCGGCCTCGTGTCCCGAGATATTTAATCATTCAATCTCGAGCCCCAACGACTCGTTTTTTTATCGATCCAATTCCAAGCGATCGATATAAATTTGAGTCGGAAGATTATTAGAGTAATTTTTTGTGTGGAAAATCGGAGTTTATTTGTTGGAATAGTTTTGATAAATGTTCGGTGTCGTTTGCGCTGTGCATTGATTGGCGAGGCACAAAATGGCTGCCTTCGGGCTTGTTGCCTTAACTTTGAACTCGTGGGGTGCAGAGGTTACATTATATAACAAAGAATACTCTCGTTTTATACGTTTATTGTCAGTAAAATATGATTTCCCTAATATATACACAATTTGACGTGACATTTTGCTTTATTATAAATTTTGTAAGTACGTATTGCGTACCTGGCAACACCTTATCGGTGCCAATCTTATTACAGACCAAGTCAGATATAAATCTATCAACGTTCATCCTATACTCTACACTACACTACTATACACTACACTACTATACACTACTACACTATACTATACACTACACTACTGAATACCTTTCGATTTAAAGCTTTCGTGACTGCAAGGATTCATCTTCTTTGGTTCTTTCGGTAAAGTCACGTAGAATGAGAATAACATAATAAATTGATAAAATGAAATAACACAATAATATTCTCACGACGTTTCGGCCACAACAAAAGCGGCCTTCAGGTGAAGGGGACGAGACTGTCCTGTGTTATTTTATTTTATCAATTTATTATTTTATTCTCATTTTACGTGACTTGACTGAATACCTGTAAACCCCTTATCAGTGCCTATTACTGACCAATTCAGACGTTATTGGTTACCCCCGTGCCACTTATAAATCTATCAACGTTCATCCTATACTCTACACTATATACTACACTACTATACACTACACTACTATACACTACACTACTGAATATCTGTCAACCCCTTATCAGTGCCTATTACTGACCAATTCAGACGTTATTGGTTACCCCCGTGCCACTTATAAATCTATCAACGTTCATCCTACGAAGTCCCATCGCAAGCAGAGAAACACAAACAAATAGACGACTGTACGCCGTATGGCCCTGAAAACTCAATTTCCCTGTACGAGAATACGGGGTAAACCGTACGGGTTGACAGCTATTATAATGTTTTTATACTCTTTTGTTTTTTTCGGTTAAGTCACGTAAATAAAAAGTATAAAAGAAAAATATGAAAAAACAACAAGTGAAAGCACAAACGCGTTTGTGCTTTCGCTTGTGTTGCGCCCGAAACGTCGTGATTTAATTTAGTTTCATTTATTTTTTTCATTTATTTTATATTTTTTACCTACGTAACTTTACCGAAAAAAACAAAGAGTGTGAGTCACGAAAACTTCAAATCTAGAATTAAATAATCTTGTTTTGTTTAGGCAGTGTTATCAGGGACGGTATGAAATTGAGGAGGCACAGCAGAGATTTGGGCGGATTTTCGTGCTGATGCGGAATTGCCTTTGCGAATATGACTTTGAAGTAAAATGTTGGTTGTTTCACAAACCCCTGGTGCTCAGCTGTTGTGGAGTCGCCCACTTCTCCGGAGGACAGAAGACAACGCATCTCCGAACTTAATTTTTTAAATTGTTGTTATCTCCTTAGACGACCTATCCACCTCGTAAGACGGGAGGAGAGGGGACAGGGCGGACCGCCTAAACTCTCACGATACAGTTATAAATTATTTTCAGGTCAAAAAAATTATCATCTATTACCTGATTAGTGTTGCTTAGGATGCTGGCAGCAGTGGATAAACACGTGTTTTTGTTACATACGTCACCCCTGCAGGCACTTAGAAGCACTTCCTTTCAGGGGTCAAGCAACGAAATAATTCTTGAATAGTAGCCCTGAATTACGACGTCCCAAACGTGAAGTTTTAATTCGTTATATTACGCATAAGAGGCCGGAATAACTTGAGGAAATTGGTAATGGTTTCAAATGGCTCATGAATTGACTCATGCATTCCCTCTCACTTGTGCATTATTATGCTAGTGATTGACCACAGCTCACACTGTTCACAACCACATGAACAGCACTTGCCACCACTGTAATTATGCCACTTTACTGACCACTTCATCTACCTGTTCGTGATAACAATTTGCGCGCACTAAGATTATTAATGCTTGTTGCTTTACATGTACTCACGATGTTTTGAGTGTATGACTGTAAGAGTCTTTGCACAGAAATGAGTGTTGGGTTAAAATGCTCCAAAATAATAGCCTTGAGCTGGTGGTAAAGACTCTACATTCAAATGGCCAGGGTCAGTTTATCCACGTGAGAATAACTGTTAACTTGCCGTAAAGTGGTGCTAATTGTATCAACCTTGGAGGGAAGGTGAGTCGACCCCTGACCAAGGAATTGATATACAGCATGTAGTTGACCGTTCTTGCACAGTGTAAAGGCAACATGTGTATTTGGGGGCAAATTACGAGTGTGTGCATGACAGTGGAAACATCTTAAATGTGGAAACACTCTTTGGTTATTTCGGTAAGTCACGTAGAAAGGAAATAAATCAATCATATTGACTGTTTTTCACCATTGTCGCTGGGTGGACTAACGTCTCTCGGTGGCAAGATGTTGTCTCCCTTGTCTCGTATGCAGAAGGTCATGGGTTCGATCCGGACCCTGACGATGCCTGTGTTAGTTTAGTTTATCGGTTGTCTATAGTATATTCGGAGTTTGCGTGATATCTCTCCCCGTGGATTTTTGTTCGGGCTCCTCCAGTTTTGCCCTCCATATTTAGAAACATGCTTTTAGATTATTTGTCGACTATAAATTCTCACTTGTGATGATATGAGCTACACTCTTTGGTTCTTTCGGTAAAGTCACGTAGGTAGGAAAAGAAAAAATATATCACAACGTTTCGATTGCAACACAAGCGACCGTCATCAGGTAGAACTAAATTTGAGAGAGAGACAAAACACAGACACGGAGACACACAGACAGACATACAAGCAGAAAGAGACACAACAGAGACACACAGACCCAATCCCTCTGTGTCGAGGCCTTGAATAGAGAGAAATGGGGGTGGGGGGTTGGGCAGAGAGAGAGAGGTGGGTCTGCTGGAGCAGAGAAATTAGCATGTCAATGAATCCATCCCGAAGCGACCGAGGGAAAGGAGATCGAATGGCCCTATGATGATAGCCTGGTAAATTATAGAGAGAGATATAGGCAGTTTGAGAACATTTTTTAGCAAATATTTTGGAAATGTAATGTAATGCAACACAGAGAGTCGGCTAACACAGTTAACGCACCTCTACGGGGAGGATGTAAGTTGTTTTCTCTCTCTGTGTCTCTGTCAAATTTCACACTTAACTTCAAATTTAGCAATCTTTGGAGATCGTAATCAACCAGGCTATGTATTAACTGTGTGTTAGCCGACTCTGTGTTGCATTACATTACATTTTTATCAAACTTTCTCTAAAACTTACCAGGCTATCATAGGGCCATTCGATCTTCTTTCCCTCGGTCGCTTCGGGGTGGATTCATTGACATGCTAATTTCTCTGCTCCAGCAGCTGCCCCAGCAGACCCACCTCTCTCTCTCTGCCCATCCCCCCCTTCTCTCTATTTAAGGCCTCGACACAGAGGCATTGGGTCTCTGTGTGTCTATGTTGTGTCTCTCTGTGTCTCTGTGTTGTCTCTCTCTGCTTGTGTGTCTGTCTGTGTCTCCGTGTCTGTGCTTTGTCTTTCAAATTTAGTTCTACCTGATGACGGTTGCTTGTGTTGCAATCGAAACGTCGTACTCTATTATTGAATTTATTTTATTTCTACGTGACTTTACTGAAAGAACCAAAGAGTAATTCCTGCAGTCACGAAAGTTTCAAAATGTGGAAACACTGTATATTCCACTTCCCTTAATGCACAATTATCTCTGCAGGCACAAAATATGGCTTTTACGGTGGCCACTCTGGTGCTGGAGCCGAATGAGGACTTCCTTGCGTGGCTTGAGGCGCAGGGTGTAAACGCGGAGGTGGCCCGGGCCATGGACTCGGAGCTGGGCATCCGGGACTACGGGGTCCTGCGCGCCTGCGTCGGGGACGGCCTCGTGCGGGCCGAGCTGCTGGCCACGGCGCGCGACCGCCTGCCCTTTGGCTTCTACGCCGTGCTGCGGCAGGTGGTGAAGGCCCTGCAGGGCGCTGAGCTCCATAACGCTGGGATGCCGCACTCAGATGATGTCGCCGCCTCCTCCGCCTCTCCTGGCGACGTGACGCTGGAAGGCCTGGTGGACGTGCTGCTTGCGCTGTTCAGCGGCTTGAGCAGTGAGCTGCTGATGTCCGTGAAAAGACTCGGAGCCATGGATGGACTTAAGTATGAAATGCCTTCATCTGGTGATGCAGTCGGTAATGAAATGATGATGGCTGAAATGGATCGCCCAATGGAGAATGGTAATTGATATTTAATAGCATTAAATAACATCTGGCTGATTGACACCATGGTTAGTGCCCTAAATTCACAATATTAGTCTTTGCTTAACCTGAATGTGGAATTTGCACCACTGACACAGGACCACAGATGGAGATGATACCACCATTACACACAGGCAGGGAGACGCTTGAGTCAGATTCACTTCCTGCCTACGCGACTAAAACATATTGCCCTGGTGGGTCGTCCCATTGCTTGCGATGGAGACCGCAGCTTGATTTCACCAAATATCAGATGGAATGAAATTTTCCATCAACGCATGAATCGTGTCATTTCTATCTGTGAATTACAAAAACACTATGTCCTTTGATTTCAGGTGAGACGGCAGGAACGCCACCTCCAGATGCGGATGACTCTCAACCCAACCTGCCAGTGGATCTGATAAAAATTGAATCTTTCGGAGGTATCATTTATAAGTGTGGAGTGTTGAGTTGTCCAGTTTAGTCAGGGGGATCAATCAGCTTATTCGGATATCCCGAATGGACGACCCCTCAATTCCAAGTATATTGTTCTTGATGAGCTAATATACATCTCATTGCTGTTAATTATTCGTCACTTTTCAGTTCACATCAGTTTCAAACTGACACTTTATTGAAAATAATTTCACTTTTATGAGCCCTCTATTCTTGTAGATGCCGCTGACTTCACTGACAATGCAATGCTTCCTCGGACATCGGAGGATGGTTCCATGAAATGTTGTCTAATAAAATATTGGGTAATTGGCCTTTTTTGCCAGTAGATATTTCCGTCAATGCATGAATCATGTCGTGTCTATTTGTGAATCAAAATAACCCTGTGCTTTGATTTCAGGTGACACAGAAGAAACGCCAACTCCAGATGTGGATGACTCTCAATCCAACCTGCCAGTGGAACCTTTCGGAGGTAACGTCTATAAGTGTGAAGTGTTCAGTGGCCCAATTCAGTCATTGGGATAACTCGGCTTATTCAAATATCTCGAATGAGCAACCTCTAGATTACAAGTCGACCTCTAGCTCTTGATGAGCTCAGATACATCTTATTGCTTCGGTCGTTAATCATATTGTTACTTCTCAATTCACATCAGTTTCAAAGTGACACTTTATTTAAAATTATTTCACTGATATGAGCCCTCTTTGCTTGTACAGTGAGGGAAAAAAGTATTTGATCCCCTGCTGATTTTGTATGTTTGCCCACTGACAAAGAAATGATCAGTCTATAATTTTAATGGTTGGTTTATTTGAACAGTGAGAGACAGAATAACAACAACCCTTCTGCAAAACATGACTTAGTACTTGGTGGCAAAACCCTTGTTGGCAATCACAGAGGTCAGACGTTTCTTGTAGTTGGCCACCAGGTTTGCACTCATCTCAGGAGGGATTTTGTCCCACTCCTCTTCGCAGATCTTCTCCAAGTCATTGAGGTTTAGAGGCTGATGTTTGGCAACTCAAACCTTTAGCTCCCTCCACAGATTTTCTATGGGATTAATGTCTGGACACTGGCTAGGCCACTCCAGGACCTTAATGTGCTTCTTCTTGAGCCACTCCTTTGTTGCCTTGGCCGTGTGTTTTGGGTCATTGTCATGCTGGCATACCCATCCACGACCCATTTTCAATGCCCTGGCTGAGGGAAGGAGGTTCTCACCCAAGATTTGACGGTACATGGCCCTGTCCATCGTCCCTTTGATGCGGTGAAGTTGTCCTGTCCCCTTAGCAGAAAAACACCCCCAAAGCATAATGTTTCCACCTCCATGTTTGACGGTGGGGATGGTGTTCTTGGGGTCATAGGCAGCATTCCTTCTCCAAACACGGCGAATTGAGTTGATGCCAAAGAGCTCCATTTTGGTCTCATCTGACCACAACACTTTCACCCAGTTGTCCTCTGAATCATTCAGATGTTCATTGGCAAACTTCAGACGGGCATGTATATGTGCTTTCTTTAGCAGGGGACCTTGTGAACGCTGCAGGATTTCAGTCCTTCACGGCGTAGTGTGTTACCAATTGTTTTCTTGGTGACTATGGTCCCAGCTGCCTTGAGATCATTGACAAGATCCTCCCGTGTAGTTCTGGGCTGATTCCTCACCGTTCTCATGATAATTGCAACTCCACGAGGTGAGATCTTGCATGGAGCCCCAGGCAGAGGGAGATTGACAGTTCTTTTGTGTTTCTTCCATTTGCGAATAATCGCACCAACTGTTGTCACCTCACCAAGCTGCTTGGCAATGGTCTTGTAGCCCATTCCAGCCTTGTGTAGGTCGACAATCTTGTCCCTGACATCCTTGGAGAGCTCTTTGGTCTTGGCCATGGTGGAGAGTTTGGAATCTGATTGATTGATTGCTTCTGTGAACAGGTGTCTTTTAAATTTCGATTTAAAGCTTTCGTGACTGCAATGATTCATCTTCTTTGGTTCTTTCGGTAAAGTCACGTAGAATGAGAACAAATAATAAATTGATAAAATAAAATAACATCAATTTATTATTTGTTCTCATTCTACGTGACTTTACCGAAAGAACCAAAGAAGAGGTGTCTTTTATACAGGTAACAAGCTGAGATTAGGAGCACTCCCTTTAAGAGTGTGCTCCTAATCTCAGCTGGGAGCCAGAAATCTTGGGAGCCAGAAATCTTTCTGATTGAGAGGGGGTCAACTACTTATTTCCCTCATTAAAATCAATTTATAACATTTTTGACATGCGATTTTCTGGATTTTTTTGTTGTTATTTTGTCTCTCACTGTTCAAATAAACCTACCATTAAAATTATAGACTGATCATTTCTTAGTCAGTGGGCAAACGTACAAAATCAGCAGGGGATCAAATACTTGTTTCCCTCGCTGTAGATGCCGCTGAATTTTCTGAAAATGCAATGCTTCCTCGGACATGGGGGCATGATTACACAAAATTAGCTTCTAATACAATCTTTGGTAAGTGGCCATTTTTTACCAGTAGATATTGTGAGGATATAAATCCAGACCTAGAGGTCATCACGGCCGACCACACAACACAATAGCTTTTCAAATGATTTGTTTTTCATGATTGCATATTTATATTTTTCATTATTATTTGAGTATGTAAACGTCCAATCAAAAGAATATAAAACACATTTTTCAAGGCAGAGTTTTATATCTGGAGTCTGTCTTGAATGTGTTCATTTTTAATGTATTTAATACAACTAAAAATAGGTCAAAAGGTCATCACGGCCAATAAAATGTATGCCACTACATGTGAACATCTCATCCTCATTTTTATCCGGTCGTTCAGCTGTTGCGTAATTACATCCGACTTCCATGGTTTTTTCTGACAGTCTCATCATCGCCATCTCTCTCGTTTTAGGTATTGCCTTGTTTAACAGTTGACACATACTTCAAGCACTGCTATTAGTCTCATCTCCACCTTCATTTCGTTTTACGTATTATCTACTCGAATGCCAGTGCTTATTTTTTACTTGTTCAAAAAAAACTTGTTTGAAATTATGCTCTCCCTTAAAGTTTCATTGGAGTCTCACACCGCTCTCATGTTCAAAGCCATGACCTCACAGCAGATCGAGGACGAGAGCTGTACGCTTGCTGTCGAGACGGCCCCCGCTCTGTGGGCACAGGACGCCATTCAAAACGGAGAAGCAGCCTTCACCTGCACACGCGAGTACGTGTCACTACCACCAACGGAGGGGTTCTCCTTCGAGTCGTCAGTGGCGAGCCGAAACGGGTCACCCCTGGCAGCCGTTGCACGAAGCCTGACCATCGGACGTAGTGGCTCCAACAATCCGGGTGTGTGGTTCGCCATCGCCGAGCCCTCGTGGAAGAATAAAAATCTGTTGCCGGGACGCGTAGTCCAGAGACCTTACCACTGCGATGTTTGCGGGCACTGCTTCTTGAAGCGCGAGCACCTGAAGAACCACCTGCGCACGCACGCGGGAGAGAAGCCTTACCGCTGCATGGTGTGCGGCCAGACCTTCTCGCAGCAGGGCAACCTCAAGCGGCACCACCGCACGCACACGGGCGAGCGGCCGTACGGCTGCGAGGTGTGTGGCCGGGAATTCTCGCGGTCCATCAATATGAAGATGCACATGCGCACGCACACGGGTGAGAATCCCTAACAGTGCGACGTGTGTGGACAAGCCTTCACGCACGGGTTCAGACTGCGCTTCCACCAGCGTACCCGCAGAGGGTCGGGCGCCACCACCGCCTGAGAATGAAGAGTTTTGTTTATGGTGCCGCAGACATGTTCACATGCTCCAGGCCAGAGCCCCGTTATGAATGACCCCTATTGTAATCAAAAAAGGTTTGGTGTATGAGAGCATTTGAGCACTGCTTTGTATGGTCATTGGTGCAGCCCTGCAATTCCTTGCCAATGCCATTGTTGGTGGTAGGGAATCTTAATGGACAGCTCTAGACATGTGCAGTCGTCTTGGAAGAGGTGGGAGTCAGTTTAACACGTAGGCTTTCGCGACCAATATTATTCATAATAAAGGTTCTTGGGTTAGATTGCGTTTATTTATAATTATAAATAAACGCGATCTAACCCAAGAACCTTTATTATGAAGAGGTGGGAGTACCCACACTTTACATCCACATGTGTGCCACCATTAATGTCAGATCAGGTAGATGTCCCTTCTGAACCTGTTTGGGAGACCTTGCAGTCACCCTTATTATTTGGTCCATCAAATTGCCAATGACTCGCTTGCCATATGCAAGGTTATCACAGACCAGCACAATGGACCCTCGTCCAAAATATGTAACCGACTTTTAGCTGGGATGGGATTGTAGTCCAGCACTGTAGCGTCGATGATTGGTAGACCGTACGAAGTTTGTGAAACTCCCTGTGGGCGTCGAGGCTTGCCAGGAGAAGGCGATAGAGCAAAATGTGTGCTCCACCTGTTTATGGGGTAGAGCAGTGTTCTTCACTAATTTTCAGAGGGGGGCCACTTCCACACCGCCAGCATGGGGTGTTTTCACATTGTCGGGGGCCGCACTAAAGGCCGCTAGTGGTTGCGGGCCTTGCATTGAAGCTCACTGCGATAGAGCGTTGCCTTTTTGCATGTGGGTTTTTTTCTGGGAAATAGTTTCCTCCCACGTGTTAAGACTTAATTGACCGATAACACCTTAACACATGAAGACAATCACAAAGCTTGGGAATTTACTGGTGGCAACTCACCACCTAGCTGCCTTCGCCGCTTGTACTTGGGTCCTTTTCGCACCTGCGAGTCATGCTCTCCGAAAGTGAGCGGATCCTGTGCAGCACGTTACAAGTTGAAATTATAAATTATATTAATGTCATTCGGTGGTGGTGCTAACCTATTGGGGGGCCAGATGCAGAAGTCTTATTAGGGGGTGGGGAGTTGCAGAAATATAGAAATGAGAGATTAAATGGCATTTTTACGTATAATGGCTGGTTAGGTTTTTCTTGATTTGAATTTTAGCTGAAATTGTATCTATCTTTATGGTTTAATGAATCCATGGTCCATTGAGCTGCTTGGTACCCGAAGCCTTTGATTGGTTTGCTCGTGCCTTCCATTGGTTATTGTTCCTCCGAGGGCAATGGTGGTTTTATGTATTTGTAATCGAGTTTATAATTGTATGAAATAAAAACAATTTTAATTACCGTCTCTTTGTCAATCCACTGCTATGTTGATCATAGTTTAACCATACTTGGCCACACTTCTCATTGGAAGTTGGTGGTGGGGTAGGGGTGAGTGCTGGTAGAAGTACCAGAGCAGATATCGATCACCACTGATGTTAGCTGTAGCCAGGAATCGAACTCGGGTCGCTGTCTTCACAAATTGCACTAACCGCTGCACCACTGCTCCACTCTGAAATGAGTGTAGTTTTGGTAAAATTTAATTGAAAACATTTTTGGGAGATATTCAAAAATCCATGTGGTCAACTTACCAAACATTAACCAATCAAAAAATGTGCTTCACTTTCAGTTCTGATGCAATTGGGTGCAAAAGTATTGATTTTGTAACGTGATTAGTTTTCCATATAATTTGTTCGGTTTGATAAACGTTTTATCTAAAACCAAGATAACATTTCTTAAAATATTAAATTTGAGCTTACGTCGATGAGCCCATGTATATATTTTTCTCACATTTACGGTTATATGTTGAATGTTAACAGGGCTAACTAGTGGCCTTCTGTTGTATTGCACGGTGTTGCAGAATATGCCTTGTACAGTATGGTGTAATATTAAAACCCTTAAAGCTTCAGCACATTACCACATATATGTAGAACTTCTTTCACACCCTACGTAGCAAACCATGCTAATCTGAGGTGCGGGGAAAGGACAAACCAAACAGTAAAAATAGTTCTAAATGCGTTTTCAATCTAGATCATTTAAAATTGGATAGCCAGTGGCTCCCAAATATCAGAATGAAGAGCGTTCTCGATGGCCGTAGCTCATCTGAAACCGGTCGTGTTCCGCAATGGGGGATGGATATTTTTTTGTCTTTTAAACGGTGCCGTCAATATCCATTGGACATAACCAATACTACGAATTCGTCACTGAAGTCATGGTGGTTACTAAAATCGTGAATTTGAAGTTTGTGAAGTCTTGGAAATGGCTGTATAATTATTATATGAAGCACTTGTGTCTCTCAATATGTAGGGGAGGGGTACAACCACAGTTATTGTATTGTAATTGTTCCGTTAATTATTATTGGGGATTTTTCACCAACACCTTGGCCGTTCGAATAAAAATCACCTTGGGAAAATTTGTAGCCATTAACAGTTGGCTCAGCTGCAGAATGAGCTCGCAAACGAAAGGTTAGGTAAAATCCTGACCTTGCACATCATCCTTCAAGGGTCGATAAAATAAGTGCCACTGTTGGGAAATCAACAGTAACCGTCCTATGCAAAGACTTGCTCCCTGCCATAGGAATGTGCAGTACCCACCATGTTCTCTCATGGGCTGTAAATGGGAACTGAACAGCACCTCATTACTAGCACCACATCTCATGCAGAGAGAGTTCTTACCTGTACCCATCTGGCAGTTCAGCATTTGTTTAAGCAAGCCTGACTGCTGATGAGATACTGTGTCGTAACCGGTCCAGAGTTTGCTTGTAATTATGCCGATGTTTAAAAAAAATGCACACTCCGAGAAGGCTGTGGGTGGCCGGTGGAATGTGTACAAATATTTTTTTTACGTGGAGATAGAACTATGGTAAGGTGGCGTAATGGCACATTTTCTTGGCTACTTATAATTCTCCACAACGACGGTTGTGATTAATCACTTGTTTTTTGGATCAGATCGCCGTGGAAGTAAAGTGTGCGTCGTACACCCAACACATTTGTAATGGTTCGACAGAGGCACACACTCGTGTGGAGGCAACACTTTATTTAACACAACTGCAACAAACCTGACACTTACTCTCACTAACACTCGGGTGCTACTTGGCGTGGCCAAGCCAGAAGGGCTTCTGCTTGGGCACGATGACTGGAGGCTTGTCCCTTCAGAGTCTTCATGAGACCGCTTCATCCCGGGCACCAACAGCCCAGCCCTCCGCGCTGAGCCCGCTTATTAAGCCTCTCCGGCGTGGCCAGCCACACCCTGACCACGCCCCCCTTCTCGAGCCCTCGAGAAGGCTCCACTCCCTGATCATGTGACCCCCACGATCCCCCAGGGCCCCTGGCCCCCTCTTGGATCTGGTCACATGTCCAGCCGGGGTCACTTGGAGTGCCATGGCCTGACACAACCCCCGTGGCACCCATCAAAAGGCAGTGACGTCACGCATACAGATCCAACATGGTAGTGACGTCATGTGTATACAGACCCGACAGTGACGTCATGTGTATACAGACCCGACATAGTAGTGATGTCATGTCACCACATCATCCCCCCCCCGTGTAACATACAGCCGTCCCGGCTGTGACCATAGAAAGAACAAAACGTGCGCCTCACAACAAAGCAGAACGTATTTAAATACCCAGCAAACGATAATAAATTACACGAATAGCATATGTACACAATAGAGAGAGAAGAAACAAGCATGCACGAAGCAGTCAGCTCACAGGACCCCCTCCATCCCCGGTGCGCCCCTGTAAAATCATGCACACCTAACAATAAACAACCGGGTGACAAAATACACATGTGAAAGTGTAATTTAAATCGCGCTGTTTTTGAACGGGTCCGTGTGGTTGGACCCCCAGGCGAGGTGGGCCGAAGCCCCCTGGAAGGTCCGGGGGAAATGTCAGTGCTGGTGGGTGAGCGTGGCCTCTCCGACACGGGCGGAAGCATCGACGGAGGGCGGTCGGTCAATAGCATACAAAAGCCTTGGTTGCAACATGTCACTAGAGATACATTTTTAGCACTCTCATCTAGATTTTTCCCACCGAACTGCGGAACAGTGAGCGACGAGCATGGCGAGCGATTTCACCAGGACATTGCAATGATGGAGAAACGCTATCAGGGCAAATGGAGGCCATCAATGCTTGCAGACTGTTGCTGGACAGTGACAAGAGACGCTCCATTTAATGAATACAAGTGTAATGAGCGACACGTCGTGAAGAGGGTACTTCTTTATTCTTATACGGGCACTTCACAGGACAAACCTTATCCTCTCAATCTTGGTACAAGACTTAGATGTTAGCGTCTCTACTGGCTACACACACAGCCAATCACTCGGCAGGTTCCACCGTCCACACTCGGCTATGCCGCTGGCTGGCGGCGTGCTGAGGAGGGTGAAAGAAGCCCGCGGGAGATCTTCCACGTGGCCAGACGACAAAGAGAGATGGCGGCAAGTAGCGACGCAGTCCGGACCCAAGACTCCACACACTAACCCCGAGTCCTCCTCCGCCCCTGCTTATATCAATCCAGGCACAGCTAGGCTCCGCCTCTGGCCACGCCCTATCATGAAACCTTCGAGCAGGTTCCCGGAGCATCTCGGCCAACCCCATCCCAGATATCTCTCCCTTTCAGATTGGATGTTATTTTAGCGGTGCCTGTATCCGTGCTTTCCTTTTCTAGCCAACAGGTGTCATCATGTCATTACATCACCCCCCCCCCCCCCGTAATAAACAAATATAGCCATTATACCAAGATAACAAGTAAGTGCACCCATGCACAGGATAAGTACGACAATAAAGAGCTATAAAAGCAGGACGCCAGTTATTTTTCTTACAAGGCGGAACAATCCACAGGAACAATTAATGCCTAATTATGAGGGAACAAGGGGGAAAAGGAGAACTATGCAAAGGGAACAAGACGGAGGGAAAAGAACAGAACTCAACAACCAATCACAACCTCTCCGCCATTCCCGAGCAATACCTAGAATAATGAATCAACGGAATCACAAGCATTTGGACTGAGTTTGCGACGCCGGTCCATCGACGGGAATGGTCTTCCGTTCCTGCTCGGACGGTGTGCACACCACTGGAACAGCCGGAGATGTGGGTTGCAACACAGGAGACACAGGTGCAGTAGGCCCGGCGGCAACAGGCATCACCCGCTCCTGGCGAGGCTTCGAAATCCGTCCATGGTCACAGGCTCGGATGCTGTGGGCGGCACGACACAATACTCCTGACGCACGCCCTCTGAACGCACTATCCTTGGCTCGTCGGACACACCAGACACCGACAGATCAATTGTTGGAGATGGAGAGGCAATCCGCGGAGGAACAAGCGGCTTCAACCGAGACGGATGGACAAACCAACGGCGACGACCCCCCAGGATATACTGCGGTCGTTTGACCTCGACCACTTCCATGGGCCCTTGCCAGGGCTTATGCAGCTTAGGGAACGTACCAACCAGCACCTGCGGGCAATGTAACCATGCTTTGTCACCAATGGACCATGGTAGCACGTGATCCCATTTCCCTGCATTATGTTAATTGTTCGCCTGTGCTTTGGCGGCATTAACTTAACTCTGGCCGCCTCTCGAGGCGTGGAAATGTGTTGCAGGGTAATTTTCACATGATCAGGCAACTTGGATTTCCCCTTATCCAATGAAGAACCCAATTGGGCCTCCATTGGGGGTACATTCTCCATGAGAAAAAACGGTGAATATCCCGTGGAAGTATGAGGGTCATCCTATATGCGGCTAGTACACTCGGAACATGTAAATTCCAATCCGTTTGCGCCGCGTCAACCGCCTGACAAAGCATGGAGGTCAGAGTTATATTCAGGTGCTCCACCATCCCATCTGCCTGGGCGTGGTACAGCGACGTTCTAATTTTATTAGTACCCAAAGCGTTGCAATCTTCGCGCAGCAGTTTTGATGAGAAATTGCGCCCCTGGTAAGTGAACAACTGCTCAGGGGCTCCCTTGACCATTACATAACCGTAGATAAATGCCTCCGCAATGGAAGTTGCCGACTGGTCAGGCAGCGGCCAAGCCATAGGCCATCGGGAGAGATACTCAACCCACACTAAGATACATTTAGTCCCTTTTGGAGTGGCAGGAAAAGGGCCAAGGATATCGAGCGCTACCAATTCGTTGATCCGTGAAACCGAAATGAATTGCAGCAAAGGATGGGACTTCCGCTTTGGCGGTTTCCTGCACGCACATTCTGTACACCCTTGAACCACCTTGTAAACATCAGCGGTCATCCCGGCCAATAATAATAATCATGCTGTAGTGTCAGCAAGGTCTTCCGAACACCAAGATGTACCA